AAAGTGTTACGTAGCTCTTGAAAACATGACATATGAAATTTCTGATGTCCAATGGAACGGATACGGAAAGAAGATAGGACGAGAAATGTGGAGATTGGACGGAATGGTAGACACTGTTTTCGACAAAATAATAATATCAAAACACACATGATAATTTAGTAACAATTATATCGGTCTTAGATAATTAAAATATTATTTTAGTAGGTACGCCTCTGCAAAGTTAATAAGGGGAACATAGTTTAGTCTCTTTAAGTGCGATGTTGCCAATTAATCACCTTCAATTTAAAATTGTTCTAGTATATTCTTTTTTTTTCGTTTTGATTTCTAATACAGAAATTATTTTCAAACAGTTCCTCCTAAAAATTGTAAATATTGACTTTACCCTATAAAATTTGTTTGTAATTGGCGATAGAAAACAATATAAATTTGAGAGTTAACGTACTTGGCCCCGATCATGACTTATTTGTAAGGTTTTAAAAACGTCAACTTGTTGTATGATTTTTAGAGGTTCAGTGGCATTTTCGTCTCTGACTTGTTCAACTAAATGTTATTTCTTTATATTTAATAAATATAATTCGTTAACATAAACCTTTATTCGCCACTTTCAAATTTCTCCTTGTAAAATTTGCATTAAGACTTTCCCATTGTCATTTTTCTCGACTATACAATTGGTTTTCTATGTATTTCGGGTGACCACTTTTAATAAAATTTTATTCCGAGCCTGCATTATAATCCCATTCCCAAATGTGACAAAGGATCTAGTTGGATACGCAGTTCTTGAATAAATTTAGTTACTCTACTAAAACAACTTTCAATTAAAGGTGACTCATCTGCAAACTGAGAGCTAACGGCAACAATGTTAAATGTCAGAAATAAATTCTTACCGGTACTTACTTATCGGGGCCATTTTTATTGTGTATGCTTCGTCAATGTGAAGAAGTGAAAACTAAGATAACAATATACTTTTTGCATATCGGTGCGATTAACGAGTGAATAGTTAAATACGTTCATTGAACACTTTGAAACATCGATAAACTTCATCATCAAATGTCAACACTTAGCTGGTCTATATATTTACATCCATGGAAAGAATGGGAATGAGATAAATAGTTAGTCGTTCCACATTCTATATCTGCATAGGCGGGTCGATGGGAAGATGAATGCCGTATTGGGTCCAACTAACGTACAAATAAGTCGGAAGTTTATGTTTGTAGAAAAAAAGCAGATTGTCAGCAGAGTGTATTAAAATTTAAAAAGTACACTTCGTACAGTGGAAGCTGTAGCTCAGTGTTCATTTTTAACGGGAGTACTCGTGTCGACAATTGAACGCATTGTACGTGAAAAAAAGATATGACTGGGATTTACAGGCTCCAAAAGTACATTGTCGTGGTAGAAAACAATTGAATAGGACGAGTACCAGAACAATTTTGTACGCACTACTATAAATTCTTTCTTTTTTGAGAATAAAGCGCCAATCCTCGAATCCATGAAGACAAAGGTAATGTAGAATGATCTCATTCCAAAAATAATCAAAGAGACGTTAAGGAGAGTAAAAGAAGATTTAAAATTTATATATGCCAAACGATCCCGTATATATATATCTTAATAGAACAAGGTTTAGTCTCATGACGACGAAGATATTTTCGCTCTATTAGAAAGGTTCGGTCTGCCCACAAAAAGATTTATTATCTGGACGAAACGTGGGTGAATGCTGGTCACACAGTATCTAAGATCTCGCAAGATACTACTGTAACGAGCTATCGTTAAGCATTTGTGGACAGTTTACCAACAGAGTTACGAGGACCAACGGGTCCTCGACGCAACGACTGATTATCGCCCATATAGGTAGTGAGAGTGGTTTTTGGACGATAGTGCACTAATTTTTTTATCAAAAAAAAAACAGGGGATTATCACGAAGACATGGACGTCCAATGCTTTGAAAAATGGTTTGAATCCCTTCTTTCACGAGTCGAGTCAAATTCGGTAATAGTGATGGATAACGCCTCTCATCACAGCCGATTACTAGAACATCTGCCAACTATGGCCACCAGAAAAGCAGACATGCAGAGTTGGTTAGGACAAAAAGGAATTCCATTTTTCGACGACATGGTTAAGACTGAGCTTATAAGTGTCATTAGACAGCATCGTGACGGATATCGCCAGCATGTTATAGATATAATGGCTCGTGCTAAAGGCATCACTATTTGAGTATCCTCCTTACCATTGCGAGTTAAAAACAACAGAATTAATCTGGGCTCAAATAAAGTGTTACGTAGCTCTTGAAAACATGACATATGAAATTTCTGATGTCGAATGGAACGGATACGGAAAGAAGATAGGACGAGAAATGTGGAGATTGGACGGAATGGTAGACCACTGTTTTCGACAAAATAATAATATCAAAACACACATGATAATTTAGTAATAATTATATCGGTCTTAGATAATTAAAATATTATTTTAGTAGGTACGCCTCTGCAAAGTTAATAAGGGGAACATAGTTTAGTCTCTTTAAGTGCGATGTTGCCAATTAATCACCTTCAATTTAAAATTGTTCTAGTATATTATTTTTTTTTCGTTTTGATTTCTAATACAGAAATTATTTTCAAACAGTTCCTCCTAAAAATTGTAAATATTGATCTTTACCCTATAAAATTTGTTTGTAATTGGCGATAGAAAACAATATAAATTTGAGAGTTAACGTACTTGGCCCCGATCATGGCTTATTTGTAAGGTTATAAAAACGTCAACTTGTTAGTATGATTTTTAGAGGTTCAGTGGCATTTTCGTCTCTGACTTGTTCAACTAAATGTTATTTCTTTATATTTAATAAATATAATTCGTTAACATAAACCTTTATTCGCCACTTTCAAATTTCTCCTTGTAAAATTTGCATTAAGATAAGACGAACCTACACCCGAGAAAGAGGTAGTCGAAGCCCTAACAATAAAACTGGCATCTTAAGTGTCGTTTTATAGTTACACGATTGAGCTGTCGATTTATTGTTAAACAATTGATACCCAACGAACTATGTAGTTGCTTTATTGTTACATATTGGCGCCCAACGTGGGCGCGAATGATAGATAATGTGTCTTTGACCTGGTGTTTACTCATTAGAGTTGGTATATTCCTAGTGGTAACTTCTTCTTTCAGTATCGGTAACTACATCTTGCTGCATTATATTGATGCGCTTAATATACAATTTGTTTCATTTAGTAGGATAAGTGCTGATTCCTTGAATTTCCTCTTAATGATATCTGCTTCTTTAATAATTATTGATGCATTGTTGTCTGTGTTCATTGTCACAAATATGTTTGCATATCTGATATCTATCAAACTCTCTATTTGCAATCTAAAATTCATCCTCTTTTACCCTAAGCAATCTTAAAGTTTGGAAACTTAACACTATATGAAACAGTTTTGACATTGTGAATAAAAACTAGAACCCAGACAGAAGAAATACATTTAAAAAATGTGGATTATATTTAAGTTACAGAATTTTAGTAAATTCTGTAACTTTTTGCAGCTTTAAAATAACGCTGCAAAATATTAGTTTCATATTTCTACAAGTTTATAGTTAGAACACAATAAAAAAAAATTGTAAGTATTTGAATAATATAAAAAGCTTGTGTATAATACGGCTTTAACAATGTTTGAACACAAATCTCACAAATCGAAAATGGCTGAAGATATTTTATCAACACCTGATTTTTTTAAATTCCAGTTGTTTTTCTAAAAAAAATATTAGAGCAATTTAAAATACAGATTCGACACTAGGAAAACTAAGCCAGTGTTAGGTAAGTTTATTGCTAAGCTAGAAAAAGGCCGAGTCAAAACATTAATATAATTCTGCAAAGAAGAAAATTTCGTCATAATGAACAATTGGTTTAAGCTTCCAGCCCGCAGACTTTCAAGTGTTTTCAAGTCTCATAGCTTTTAAATATAAAAATTGTATGTTCTATTTCTATTGTAAATTCAATATGACTAGGGAGGGACTTTCCACCACCAGAGAAAAAACCCAACAGCTTTTGCTATACAGCAAAATATCTACAAAACAGCCAACCACATAAAAAGAATGGTCACCAGCTTCCAGAACAAACAGTAACTTAAGCAATTATATTAAGAACAACAAAGCCAAAAGAAAAAATATTTACACAGTGGTGTGTACAAACTTACGTGAGATGGCTGCTCAAAAACTTACATCGGTTAAACTGGTAGAACTCTTTAACAAACGAATAGCATAACACAAAAAAGGGGTTTTAGAAATTAATAAATTAAAAATTACAAATATAATTCTGAATGACCGACTTGAGATAAACAGCTCTCTCCACCTCTACTTGTTCAGTTAAAGACGCATAGTTAAAATATATCACTTGAGAAAGGCACTCTGCCGAATCAGCTGTAGTGAAATAAATTATAATAAATTTTGTGGAAGTGTAGAAAACAAAAGTTTTCAGTGTGTTTTTTTGTTAGATAAAATAAATTTAATGAATCCATCACTTAAATGGTGTATATTTGATTATATTCTATGATATTAAAAAATACTGTTGTTGTTTAAAGTTTTTTTTTCCATATTGAATGTTAGTTTTTGGAATCTCTTTCATGCAGTGCTACTTTTGCTTGAGAACAGCTCCGATAATAATAAAGCGATAAACTAGGAATTTTATCTTTCATCTTATATTAAACATCAATACTATGTAAAAAATATAGGTACGTCTTTCACATATTAAATCAGATGCAAAGACCTTGTAATCAAATATGAAGTACTTAACCGAAAATCATAAAGTTATATTGCAATCACGATCTAACATAGAAACAAAAGTCAAAATACAAATAGTATGTGCCCACAAAACATGAACATCTTCAAAAATGTACAAAAATTTCTACATCCCTTAAATATTTCAGCGATTAGGCAACGCAGTATGATCTTGATATTCGCGTGACATAAGTAAACAGTTGATCAATGATATACATTTAGCAAGAAAAACAATATATCTTACCTGGTCCTAAAAATTCCTGTTTACACTCCTTATCCAGGAACCCCGAAGATTGGGGTATAATTTCCATTCCGCCTAAAATATGTTTGTAATTAGGTTAATTGTTATATACTTAAAAATATAAATAGAGGACAACATAAAATTTAAGACTCGATTTAAATTTAACATTAAGAAATATTGGCTTTGGTAAATTAGGAACGTCGAAGAGGTCAGACTGTAGGTCCTTATGGTCTAGGACAACCTAACGATCGAGGGCAGAGATTGTATGAATTTTGTAAAGAAAACGATATAATCATTGCAAACACCTGGTATAAACTACCCAGCGACGACTATACACTGGAAAGCCCCTTTGATGATGGCAAACCTGAGTCTTCGAGAAATTAAATAGACATTACTTGAAATGAGTGTTTCGAAATACATTAAAAAGTCACTACATTTCCTGGGGCAGATATTGGATCTTATCATCAACCACTTGTAGCAGATATTAAACTAAGGTTAAAACGAATTCAGCGACAAAAACCAATGTACTTAACTTTGACGATATAAAAATAAAACATAACATTAAAAAAATATTTAACAATAGAATAAAAAACATCGGAGAACAACTAGAAGATCCAGAAGAACTATGGAGTGAATTTAAAAACCAAGTTAACGAAATCTCCACAAACAATAATTATAGAAAAAACTTAATCAAGAAAAATAAATGGATGACAGGCGACATCTTGAAATTAATGGAGCAACGTCGACTGATAAAATCTAATGAAACAGAATATAGACACCTGCAGAGAAGAATAAAAAAGGAGATCAAATTAGCCAAAGAAAAATGGATGAGAGAAAGTTGCGACGAAATGGAGGATGTAATATCTAAACACGACTTATTTAATGTGCACAAAAAGCTAAAAGAAATAAGTAACATATTTAAAAAATGAGTTCCTCCTGTACTCGTTGACAATGGCAGGTGTATATATCAGATTTGTTTGAAGATGACAGGAATAATATTGCCGAATTCTACCAAAACTGTACTGAGGGCCCAGAAATTATGAAATGCGAGGTAGAACACGGTATAAATAATGCTATTATTATATAATTATATAATAATACAAACTAATTTTTGTATTTTGAGACATTTCCGAAGTGGAAATTGAAACGTCAATAAACGTATTTTAACCTTTAATTGTGGCTTATTCCCATTTAAATAGTAATCATTGATACATATGTTATGGTTGGTTGTACCGCCACGTTATATATTCAATATAACTACACTACTGTAGTAGTGCAGTGACGTGAAGTGATCTGGGAGCTCAGAAGACTGAGACCACAGAAGCACTGATGAAGACTTCAGAGAAGAAGTTGACGAACTCCACGTCGTATTTCCACTGCTTCCGTCCTGTTCTGACCAATAACCGATACAACCGGAAGTGGTAGGAGGTTCTAAATATTTTAGATAAATTGAGCATATCTAATAACCCCAAATCATAAATTTTAAGATATTAAGTCGTTTCTCTACAACGTCCAATTGGAACTCTTAAAGAATCACCCTGTATATCCCTAAGATTGTTATTCAATCAATATTATGGTTTAATCTGACACCCCCTATAACAAATAAATAACTGTAGTCAAATGTTACCTGTAATAATACAAACAAAAAAACACATTTTACCTGACAATTCCTTGATATCCGTGGACGGATACAATCTGGTTGCCAGCCCTTCGATATCGTTATCATCTCTGACATCGTCCGCATCGTCACTTAAATAATCGGGTAACTCAAGTTTAGGTTCAAAATTTTTGGCAAGCTCTTTTGTCTTCTCTTCGCTTACGATATCCTTTATTCCGTAAGAATTCACAGCCTCGTCTTGCCTTTCAGAATTTAATTCCGTATCGTCTTTACAATGCTTTTTTGCTAAAATAAAATACAGAAGTCTTTTCATTATATTTAAGACATTATCGTTTAAGAGTGCAAAATAAAAGACACTGGATTGATTTGGGGGAGGCCTATGTCCAAAGTTGGATTACTTAAGGCTGAAGAAGAAGAAGAATCGTTTTAAGACCGTATAAAAAAACGGATCTGCTGATGAAATAAACGTTTCTATAGATATACTCCTCCCAAAGAAATATTCCAGGAAAATAAGTTTTCCAAGAAGCGCAAATTAGAATATTGTAATATCAACCCTTAATATTAGAATTCACATATATAAAATATTATAATTCATACCCAGTGTAACATTTAACATTCTGCTTATATAAATATATTTAGTAATTTGAATCAAGGACATTCATAAATAACATACTCTAATTAGAATTGGTAGTCAGCACTATTGCCGATCACCACATGCTTGGCATAGGTCATGAATAAACTTGACATACTAATAAGTAAACATTTGCTGATATAGCAAGGACTACTATAAAAGTCCCAACAATCATTCTCTCAAAGATCTTAATTAATGTAACGTCAAGATGGCAAGTTAATGCCGCATATAGTCAGCGTCAATTAAGTACTAATATATTTAAGATTAAGTAACATTAAAGAGTGTACAGTAGTGTTTAAATAAATGGTCAACTAAGTACAACAACAAGTTATTTACCACCCTACAACATTATATATTACATGGCGATCCTGAAGTGGTAGAAACCAGGAATCTTCATCCAGAGATGTTGAGAAGAAAATCCCACTGGAAGTTTAGATGGAAAATAGCATACTAGATGTTATATGGAACCAATGCATTTCGAAATGGGAAAATGCATCAACAGATAAGGAAATTCCGGACCAGACCAGCCAAGAGCCCCGCGACAGCATTCCAGCTAAGGACAATGGACAGTAAATGGAAAATCGATAAATGGAATATGGATAAAGGTGATAGTGATAAAGACCATATTATTAAATGTATTATGTAAGTAAATTTATTTTTTATCCCTTATATATAAATAAGTCTAACAAATTGAAATTAATATTTATTACTGAGAAAGTTATTAGAAATATAAAGAATTTAACTAGTTCAGAATGTTGAATATACAATTTTTTATTACTTTGAAAGTAGAGTTATATAATTTATTTTTAAGTTTTCACTAATAACTATTTATATTGTTTTAACGAAACAAATGTGTCATACGTTTTTATTTGCTTAAGGTATATTTTTAAGATTATTTATATTTGACCATGAAAATACACCGACAGATCGGAAATATTTGATATAACGATATACGATACGATTATAAATTTGCTTGGATGACAAATTCTATAAGTAATATACACGAAGAAATTTAATATGACCTTTATTTAAACTATTTAAATATAGGGATATTTAGAATTATTGTTACATTTATAAGGAAAGGATATATTTAGAAGAACTTTTAAAGACAATTGACCATGGCGTCAGAAAAAATTTTCATTGCGTTGGAACAATTTCCACGAAAATATAAGTTCAGGAATAAATGCAGTTATGAAGAGTCAAGATTTTGTAGACGTAACGCTTTCAGCACAAGGAAAATGCATAAAAGCCCATAAAATGGTTCTTTCGGTTTGTAGCCCATATTTTAAAGAAATTTTTAAGTCAAATCCCTGTCAATATCCGATAGTAATTTTGACAAACGTGACTTACGAAGCACTATAGACTTACTACAATTTATATACCATGGAGAAGTACAAATTAGACAAGAAGATTTAAATACCTTTATTGAAACGGCTGAATCATTGCAAATACAAGGACTCACAAGGAGAGAGGATAAGTTGTAAACGATAATAACATTATGGAAATTTAGATAAAGAATATACACAAAATGTAGAAGATTTCAAGCCAGTTTCTTTACCTATGACAAAGAAACAACAGATAAAGAAGGAAGAACATAGCGACATAGAGCAAGAAATAAGTATGGCTCTTACAATCAACGAATTTTTAAATATCGCAAGCAAGGTGTTACCCAGCGCGTTTGATGGAAAAAAGCAGGTAAACTGCAGTCATTTTTAGATGCACTAGAACTACTTGAGAAAATAGCGATAGGACACGAGGAAACAGCGATAACATTAATAAAGACAAGATTAACTAATAAGGCCAGAAACGTTATAACTACAGAAGATACAATCGCAAGAATAGCAGAGGCACTGAAGAGAGAACTGAGAGGCGACAGTCCGAAGACGATAATAGCTAAATTGGCGAAGAAAAGACAAGGACATAAAGATGCAGAGGTCTATGCATCTGAAGTTGAAGAATTAGCGGAACAGCTACAAGTTGCATACGTAGAGGAAGGAATGCCATTGGAAACTAGCGAAAAAAATACACAACAGAGGCAGTAGTAGCTACATGAAACACAATGCCAGCACAGACAAAGTCAAGATAATATTAGAGGCAGGCAACTTTACAACCCCAGAAGAGGTAATGTACAAATTTTTATCAATCGACGAGACAGAAGATAGCACACAAGGAAGAGTGTTAAATTACAGGAAGAAATACGATTTTGATATGAGGAAAGAAAGTAAGAATGCAATATATAGATATTATAAAAATAGATTCGAAGAAAAGAAAAGAATATAGAAACAAAAATTATAGAAATATAAGTGAATATGAAAGACATGATACGAGGATATATCGTAATAGAAACAGAGGAGATTGGCAATCACAACGAAGAAGAAATAATAATCAATGGACACAGGTGAGATGCCACAGAAATAGAGGCATAGCGAGAGCATATTACGCACCGCATGCGAATACGAATACAGTGACAGAAGAATATTTTTTTTAACAGAAATGTAGACAAACTGGATGTGGTTCGACCTTAATGGTTGGAATCTACGTCGAGCAGGAGGCTGCTAAGAGGATAAGCTAGGGTGGGTACTTGAATCCCAACCGCTGAGAGTCCTGCGGCTCCAGCACGACAATACAGTAACTACATAATGAATTAAAATGGAAAAACGAATTTGGAATTATGATTTTTTTTTAATGAAGTAAATGGAAAATTATTGAAAAAGAAGTTTGCCACAATAAAGAACTTAGAGGAAATTATATTACAACATAAAACCCACAAGCAAACAGTAAGAAAGGTACAAAATAATATGGAGGCGCATAGACTACCAATTTTGTCTTTTGGAGCAAACCGAGTCTCACCAAGACTGAGTATTCGGGTCAAAAACAAAATGAAATGGTTAGAAAATGAGCAATAAGATATAGAGATATAATAGGAAAAAGGAAATAAGATATTGAAAAATGTAGAAATATACATATGCGAAGTACCAAAATCGTAGAGGATGAATATAGTATGAATGAATATAAATAATGAATATAATATATACAATTAGTGTATTTATATGCAAGAGAAGAAACGATATTAAATAAAATAAGTACGCACACATGCGGAAAAATGAAGAACAGATTATTTTAAAAAATATATGTCGATATTAGTACATATTAGGCGAAATTAATTTCGAGATCGAACCGATACAAAATACAAAATACAGAAGAAACAGTTATAGTAATATAGAAACCAGAAGTTGCGAAGGAATTTACAGAAGAATTAATAGATAAACCGATTAAGATTGTGTTACCTATAGGAATCATAAATGTAAATAATCGAGAAATATAAATTAGAAGATAGATAACCAGGAAAATTTATATATTTTATATGGAAGGAACAAACAAAAGAGAAAAAAGTCGAACAACTATTAAGCACAGTAAAAACCATCAATAATTGAAGAAAAAAGGCCCATAGAAAATTGCAAAATATGCAGATATTTTTATTTTTTCGGAAAAAGACCCATATATACAAAGAAAATGTTACTTTGCAAAAAGATACGAAATCAAAGAAAAAGCGTACTCATAATATTTTATTATGATAACAAAACGCAGTATTCCTAGTATAAACATCACATAACGACATTAGGTTAATTTTATAGCCGACCTACTATTAGATATTTGATATAGTTGCATGGTAAGCAAGGTCATCAATTATGAAATGAGTACAATATAACTGAACAGGTTGATTATTTATTAATATGACCCGTATATTTAAAATTTTATATACGATGCAAGAAGAACTAACAAGTATGGATTTTATTTTTCGACATAGACGGAAAATCTATATGAACAGAAATATGTTCATATTTTTGCTAGAAGAGGAACTCTTAGGACATAATATTTCGAATAAACAGACACCGCAGAATGCAAAAGAAGCAAAGCGATTGTTACATTTGCAAATCGTTATAGAAAACATGTCATCAATTTTACAGAAATAGCCGCACTACGTAACAGACTATCTAGAAAAAATAAAGTTTAATGGACTACTGAATGTCAAGAAGCATTTATTAAGCTCAAGACATATCTCCGTTAGCTAATAAGCCCCGTTATATAATTCCCCGATTTATCGAAGAAAAACAAATTTAGGGTTAAGAATTTATGCTTCAGAAATAGCATTAGAAGACAAATATGAATGCAGAAGATTATAAAGGAAATGATAATAATGAAAAATTAGAATAAGAAGAGATGAAAAATAAGAATCAGCCAATTCTTAATGAAATACGAAGAGAAAAATAATAATATTTTTAAGAAAGTATAAAAGCTTGTATAGTACAAGATAAATATAATACAATCAATACATAATATAGTACAAGATAAGAAGACCAAGGAGAGTTATAATTACCGACTTCCACATATTAACAGGAAGGTTATGGAAAAATAAATAGGATATATTATATTAAATACAGAAATATAAGGAAATACTATTTCTGGAACGAATTACGTAAGAAATGTTGAGAAATATGTGAAATGTGAAGAGATGCGACGACTGCCAAAGGCATAAGCACGTAGAAGAATATGTAATAGAAAATGAAACAGTAGCCAAATCATTGGTAGAAAAATTTATCTTGAGGTATGGAGTACCCAGAAAATAATAGCAGACCAAGGCACAGATTTTATA